TAATCCCTCACTTCACAAGATCTTTACGCATCTGAACATGGAGGCGATAAATGACGTAAAACGGAATTGGGAGTAGGTTCAGAGGAAGCCGAAATGACATTAGGAAACGAAATGTGCTAGGGCCTTCTATTAAATAACGTAAATAGCTGCGCTAGACCAAACCATATCCCAGTGCTCTACGGTCTTGGTTTCATAACCTGTGTCTACTATTGTCTAGTTAGACTCCAAAATAGCCAAATTCCCACCCAGGATCCCAAACCAATTGACAAAATTTTACCAAACGATGCCTCATTATTTTCGAACATTTAAACGTGGAGGTAAGTCTATTGTTTTGGGGTTTGCGATAGACTTACCTCCACGTGGTGCACCCTGGGCAACGTATACTCATACGGCAATAAAGTCTATCAACTGGCAGTTCACTTCTCACTTCAAACTACCATCATCTCACTCTATGTCATATCCAACCCCTTTCGCAGTACTCACCTCACCTTTCATCTACCTTTGTGTTTGTCTCTTACATCTTTTAAACACTCTTCTCCCCCACCCCCTCTCTCGACTTTTTCCAATTTGATGTTCCTTCCCCTCTCTGTGATCCCTGAAGTCAACTAAATGGCTATTGACAACCATCAAAACGCCTGCCATTTGATATAAAATAAATGCATTCAATAAACATAAGTCCCACTTAGCCTGCATGTTAGTAGATCCGTTGAATAAGGTCATATCAATGTTTCATTTAGATTTTAGTGGCCAACCCATATAAATGGGTGGTCTCCATCTCCAATCACTGAGACTTGTTTGGTGATATTAGTAATGACATTTTGCCTTAGAAACGAACGAAAGAGTTGACACACAGGGTGACACTATTTACAGACGAATTTGGCTTCTCAAAACCACCATCCTTCAATGTGCATAAAACTGTGCGTTAGTTATCTGGACAATCCGAGTACGACGAATTTAGAGAATTTGAAGATGCTCATTGTAAATTGGAGGCGTTATTTTTCCTTTGGAGGGGTGAGGGATGGACTTACTTCCACGTGGTGCAGCCTGGTCAATGTATACTCATATGGTAAATAAGTCCATAACCAGGCCGTTGACCTCTCACTTCAAACTACCATTACCCGTCTGTATGACCGGTTCGACTACATTCACAGTACTCACCTCACCTTTCTCCCTACCATTGGGTCTGTCTCTTTTACATCTGTGACTCACTCTTCTGTTCCCCCTCTCGAATTTTCCCACTTCGATGCTCCTCACCCCTGTGATTTTTTTTAGTTCAAATGGCAGGCGTTTTGACTATTATCACTAGCCCTTTAGTTGACTTCAAGCTTCACAGAGGGGAGGAGGAACATCAAAGTGGGAAAAATTCGAGACGGGGTGGGAGGAACAGAAGAGTGTTTAAAAGATGTAAGAGACAAACACAAAGGTAGATGAAAGGTGAGGTGAGTACTGTGGAAGTGGTTGGATATGACATAGAGTGAGATGATGGTAGTTTGAAGTGAGAAGTGAACTGCCGGTTGATAGACTTTTTGCCGTATGAGTATACGTGGCACAGGGTGCACCCCCACCTCTGTGAAATTCGAAATCAACTAAAGAGCTATTGATAGCTATCATATAGCCTACCATTTGTTTATAAATTTTCCCTTAAGATTTATTTGAAGTAGTGCATCTCCTTGACCAAATGACAGAAACCGTCAACCAATTCCCCTTGAAGGGATTCCAAATTGTTCTCTACGCCGAATTTTACATGTTCATGTGCATTCACTACTTTTTTATCTTTGTGATTTGTTTCTTTCGTGGCTCTTTTGATGGTATAGGAAATCAATTTTCCATAAATCTCTAGTTATTTCCCTGGGAAATATGGTCTGCCTGCATTCATAAAAAACTGTGGCAAGCACATCGATGTATTTTTATCTGCAAATAATGTATGCTTTGAGGTTTCAACAGTTTGATCCTAACGCGCTAGTCACTACCTAAGATCATTATAAAACCGGAGTTTTCTACTCAAAATTAAAAAGGGAGATGACTGTCAACTTAAAAAGAGTTTATCTATTAAGTTAATAGGATCGGAGGGAATTAACTGACCCGCTGATCGCTCAACAATTGTAACAGGAGAGCGAAATTTCATTTCTTGAATCAAGCATAAAAGATGGAATTAAGTCTCATGATAGGTTTAGTGAAGCAATGCCTCACTTTGTACCAGAAATGAAATCTCGACGCCACTCTATCACTGTGCTTTTTTCCACGTCAAAAGCACGCTAGGACACAGCATGATTGGTTCAAATTTCCCTGGCCAATCACAATCCGGCCATTTATTTCTATGCGTTGGAGACCACAACTTTTGAACCCCCCCCCCCCAATGTAGCGTTAGTGTATTGCATCAGCAAAGTTGGTCTGACCTGAATAGTAGACTGTTCTTGCCTGGTCAGATCAAGGATAGTGTGCCTTATAACAATGACCAAACCACGCACACTACAACGTCTGCGAACTCCCTTCACAGTTGCAATTCAAATATTCTATTCGGAAGAATAGCGCATAAGGGACTCGTCAAAATCCATTTCGAGACAATCGATACTGAATTGAGGAATTGTTTAAAACGTTTCTGTGGGCAAAACTTCGTTGCTTATAAAAATAACTTAATCGTGAATAAGTGTCGTTACATTTTATATATATTGTATAAGTAGGGAATAAAATATTATTGGTTTATTTTAAAATCCTCAAACTGTGCTAATTAATGCAATTTGCGGAGTGCACAACGCTATCAAGGGCGAACATAAAAATCTCAGGTGCACCCAGACAGACTCGGTGGTGCGACGTGCTACTTGTCGCGTAGGGAGCAAGTGTAGCCGTGAGTGCGTTGACCCATCAGGGCGCCTCTAATCAATAGTCCCTGCATTGTATAACAAACCCTTTATTGTACTTTTATGCCATAGAGGCTACGGTGGATAAGCCAAGGCTTATTGGTTTGGCAACCGGCTACACTGCAAATGGGAAAAATATTTGAAAGAAGATAGTTCAGAAGAAAAATAATGAAAAATTTTAAAATTTTGCTTAAATTTATACGGTCTACTTTTTCCCCACCCCCCCCCTCCCCTCCCTCCNTTTTTCCCCCCCCCCCCCCCCCCCCCCCCCCCCCCACCAAGTGGAGAGGATCTTAGACTGATATTTTAACGAAGAATACCATCAGTTTTATTCGTGCCAAACTCAGCACACAGCAGTGATAACTAGGTGGAAGTTCTGTGCCATTACTTGCCAAATCTTGCAGATATTTATCAAATAATGAATCAGCACGACTTGCACGTTTCACCCGATCTTTTACCTCTCTAATATAACTACCCCCCCCCCTCCCACTTTGTTCCTTGCTGAAAAGCATGAACTAAGCAACTGTTGCTGCAATGGTAACGCGTTGCGTTGTTAAATATGGAAATATGAGTGTCTACTTGGCATGACATGCGCCGAGGGGCGGTGGGGGTAGAGGTTAACACACATGTCTGGCAAGCTAAACATCACGTGACTTGTGTTCATCTCCCACATCCAGACCTAGTGAAGTGGATGCCCAACTGAGCGCGTAGCCACCTAATTTAAATTCTTCAAAAACTCCTTCCAATGTGGTCAAAATTGCGGTAGTGATATAGTCTCCCCGTTAATTTTTCGTGTTATTATTTGTTTCATTGCTAGCACGTCTGTAGGCAATTAACAACCACACAGAATCACCAGGTAATAACACAAATGCTTGCGTATATCGACAGCAGATTGTGTGGATTCATAAACTAACTAACCAGTAAGGTGTAACTTAGAGCAAAAGTTTGCACAAAATTGCTCCACTAAATCTTAAACAATCTACTCTAGTCGGGAAGGTGAGGTTAAATTTGTCAATTTGAAATGATCCAGTGAGGAACTAAATCAATTCGGTGAATTGATCTGAATAGCGCCACCATAACCACCAGCAACTTCGGAACAATTAGTCTGAAATTGAGGATATATGGGTTAGATTCATGATGAATTCATGCCACTAGTCTATTAATTGAAAGAATAGTTCAAACCACTTAACATAAATGTTTCATATGCTTAATGACTTATTGTGATGTGGAGATCAGATGATATTTAACCTTGCGGGGTGTGCGATAGACTTACATCCACGTGGTGCACACTGGGCAACGTATACTCATACGACAAGAAAGTCTATAACCGGCAGTTGATTTCTGACTTCAAACTGCCGTCACCCCACTGACGGTGTCATATTCGACTACTTCCACAGTACTCATCTCACTATTTTTGTACCTTTGGGTCTGTCTCTTTAGCATCTTTGAAACACTCTTCTGCTCCCCCTCTCCACTTGTTTCTCTTTGATGCTCCTTCCTCTCTGTGGTGCCTGAAGTCAACTAAAGGGCTAATGATAACCATCAAAACGCCTGCCATTTGATATAAATAAATACTCAATCGTAGTGTCAGGGTAAACTTCTTTTTCCATCACACCTTAAGCGTTTCTAATTGGCATTAGCGTAATTCACAGCCTCTTCAAAGATGTTACTATTCAAGAATGGTTGGCAATGACTTGTAGTGTGGAAAATTGGCTGCAACCCAATGCTTAAATATTGCTTCAGAAAAAAGCAGAATTAACCATTTTCGTTCCGCCAAGGGTGATTCATATGTGTGTGTGTGCATATATGCGTGTTGCTCCTTCGCAGTTTAGCCAATCACCGTGCGCGAAAAAAACGCACATAAATAGTGTTACGGTCATTTTGGATCAAAAGTCCATTCAGCCTACTTAGGTACCCTGTTTTTCATCATCGATACAACTGATTTTACCCGCTTCTCTTCGTGAATTCAACATTTTTGCCACCCCCCCCCCGCAAAATACTAATAGCCATGAAGCCGCCTGCATAAGAATTTTAATTTCCAAATCGACTTTCCACTTCGGCTTCGATTACTAGGAAGACAAAAAACTGGGAGATGCAAACAAAAACCACTGAAAGACAGTTAAATGTCCGGGTAGAATCCAGTTAGGTAGCAGTTATTTGTCGTCTCCATTCGGGTACAGCTCTCTGTGGTCGATCAGACAAAATTCTCATTGCTGTTGGCTGCAAACGAGACGCCTGAACCTTCTCCTCTTTCAGATCCTGCATTCGAAGCTTCCACAGCTCCGTGTGGCCCATTGCTCGATCGGGGTCGCGTTTGACTTCCACGCGGAACTAAATTCAGATAAAATATTCATAAATAAGTAATTACTAACTCGATAGACGAATAGTTAGCATTTGAAATTGCGTCCCACTAGATAGTTTATTTATATCAAATGGCAGGCGTTTTGATGGTTAACATTAGTCCTTTAGTTTGCTTCAGGCCTCACAGAGGGGAGGAGGAACATCAAAGGGAAAAAAGTTGAGAGGGGGGGGGAACAGAAGAGTGTTTTAAAGACGAAAGTAGAAAATTTAGAAAAAATGTGATGTGAGTACTGTGGAAGTAGTCGAATATGACATACAGTGGGGCAAAAGAGCCAGACAGACACAAAGACAGAGAAAAGGTAAGGCGTACTGTGGAAGGGTTAATAGACTTTTTTGCCATATGAGTATACGTTGCCCATAGTGCATGAGGTGGTGGTAGTTTGAAGTGAGAAGTCAACTGCCTTAGTCGAATATGACATACAGTGGGGTCAGAAGTCAACTGCCGGTTAACAGACCTTTTTGCCATATGAGTATACGTTGGCCAGGGTGCACCACGTGAAGGTTAGTCTATCGCACACCCAATCCCACCAGATAGTAAGTTTTAATTATCGCCTGGTGCCACTCTTGGCTTTAGAACTCTCCAGAATGTTACATTCTATTGAAGTCCACTTCTCAACACTACTATTCACATTTACGTCAAGAGTTGTTATGGTAATTGTATCAGATTAACTGCTTGCAGAACTGTTCAGCCTAATGAATATTTCAGTAATAATTTATACAAATGATTGAATGTTAATGAAAGGCACTTATTTTAACCACCTATAGCGATGGCTGTAAGCAAATTTCTTTCAATGAATTGAATTAAACAGAGTGAGGCTAAACCACGCCGGGATAATGTTCTTTTGCATAAATTTAAAGTTGTATACTCGATAAATTTTGTCTTTAAATTTACCTTTCGATTTTGACAACACCTTTACCTTTATTAATTATTTACGAGTGCGTAAATCTACGGTTAATATATATTACAGATGAGGAGTGTGCGATAGACTTACCTCCACGTGGTGCACCCTGGGCAACGTATACTCATATGACAAATAAGTCTATTAACCAGTAGTTGAATTCTGACTTTAAACTACCATTACCCCACTTTATATCATATTCGATTACTTCCATGGTACTCACCTCACCTTTTCTCTACTTTTGAAACACTCTTCTGTTCCCCCTCTCGACTTTTTTCCCACTTTGATGTTCCTCCTCGCCTCTGTGAAGTCCGAAGTCAACTAATGGGCTAACGATAACTATCAAAACGCCTGCCATTTGCTATAAATAAATATTACAGGTGATTCCGAGGTAATTCGATTGATATTCAAGACCTTGTAGAGATAACTAGATATTCAACTAACTGGGAGTGACAAAAAACTTAGCGACATGAATAACAAATTCACTAACTATCTGCACTTCATTGATTGGCTAAAACGACCTAATGTATCAGAGGGGGTGGCATTAAAATATTTGAAGTAAAAGAGTAATAGTAATATTATTGGTATTAGTGGTGACAGTATTCAGATCACTATCACCCACTGATTGTGTCAGATTGCAGGTGATGAATTTAAAAAATCTTCAAAACCATTGCACTGTTCTGGATGCAACCATGCCCTTACGCACTCCACTATTCCAACATCTCGTCTAAACAGTTGAAGAGGTCAGGCTAATAATGAACACTGGCCTGTGTGACAGTATGAGAAATATATCATTGATTGGCTGGGGGTGTCACTAACGAACTAACCTCATAACTTAGTACATCATGTAGAATTCAAGGTTGGACCTAAAATAGCAGTCATTAGATTTACAGGGTGATCGGAATAACTTTTGAGGACTAGAAGTGATAAAAGTGCTCACGTAAACCACACACCTTTTAAAAGTTCAAACTCTTGTTCAATCGATAAATATGATGACAACGAGAGCGGATGACTGGAACTCCACTGAGTCATGGGCGATGAAAACTATTATCAAGAAGATTTTCACGGCTCAATACTACCTTAAACACGGGAAAAAAGATCTGACACGCACTGAATGGTGATTACGAGGCGATCTAACCACCTGCTTGGGCAACATGGCATTAGAAATAAGACTTTGCTGTCGTAGTTAATCGATTCAACCATGAAGTTTGTACTTAATGAAGGCCATCACTTATACTAACCACACGAGAACCTCAGAGGCGAATTTCTCATAGAAAAGCCCTTTGAAAATAACCTGACAAGGAGGAAGAAATTCCTAACCAGGGTGGAACATCCTGCTAAAGCGTAATCTATTTCTTTTTCCCGATGAGAAGAACTTTTTCAATACCAAATGCCAAACACACAGAAAAGAAATGGTTTGGCCTGCTTGCAATACAACTGATACCTCCCGAATAATGCAAACTAAATTTTCCGTCGAGGATAATGCAATTCTTTCGGAATTTTTTCGGAGGGCATTGGGTTGAATTCAGATGTCTACGTGGAATTGCTGGGTCCTGAAGTGGTTTAGCTCTGGATAAGGAGGATCAGAGCGACATCAAGATCAGACACCCCTGCCACATCTCAGGGGAACGTGAAATATGATTGTCATCCAATTTCTACGACTAAACACCAATCCGAGTGTATGGTTAGCTTCCGAATTCCCTCCAACCACCCCCAACTACCCATGATCCTAAACCCAATGGATTATTGTGAATGCATTAGCCCTATCGAGGAATACACTGATCCCGATGCCAGTGCTTTTCAAGCACAGTTAATAAACAAAAAACACATTTTCGAAACCCTCCAAGGGTGATCGTGAAGTCAGCTTACTCAAATTTCGAGGACAGGACCTAGAGAGGATCGAGGTTGTAATAAACACTAACGGAGCTTATTTTAAGTATTACTCATTGGCAATAGTTCAATTTCCTTGTCTATTGAACTTCTTTTAAATCTATTGACTTTTGCAGTTACTAAAACACTTCCTGTTTTATCCGATGAGACTGCCACATTTTTTTATGAACACTGGAACTACGACTATAAGAAGAATTTGAGTTGTATTGATTAATCATAGAACACTTCTAATGGTGAATCGACATTTGCATTAGGGTCCGTTTATTTCGGCGAGTTAGCTATTCTGGTAAACCTTGTTTACTAAAACAATGCACTAAATTGCACTGACCTTGGAATTTGCGCGGTTTATTCGATCCTGGCTCTCTTGCTGTTTCCGAGATTTTGCGAGTTTCCTTCTAATTTGGAGTTGGATAAGGTGGCTATTCTAAAAATAAGATGCATCGTGCTAACTTTACTAATAAAATCAGGTTCATATGAGTTTTTGTTCATGGAAAGACCAACAAACTTTGAACCTTTGGTCATACTAGCCAAAAATCATATGAAACAATTTTCCTTGAACAAAATTTTGCTCTAAACTAAGTTCAAATTAGATTCCAAGTACCCTTTCATTTATCCTCTTCTTATCTAACTCTGTAAGGGTCTTCTTTGAGGAATTCATGATTCTTTCATGGATCTGATGACTCCCAGCTTTAACTTCCCCCAAGCTCTCCCTTCTCAAACGGTATTCCTCCATTCGAGATTTTAGTTCCTTCTAAAATTCCGATCAAAAATTATTGTCGTAACTTTCTCACAACACGCTTCTGTCGTTTCAGTTCTTCAATTCGTTGTTGTTCCTCCATTCTCCGTCTTTCTTCCTCCAACTTTTGATCGAGCTCACGCTGTTTTGCCTCACGCCAAGCAATGATCTGATCCCTCTTCTGTGAACGATCTAAAGACCTTTCACTCGTTAATTTAGGTCTTATTTGAGTTCCTGTTTCTTCCACAGAAGGTGTTATTTTCTGAAATATAAATAGTTTTACTTATAATTTGTAAGTAGAGAGAACTTTATTAACCAAACCTACATGACAAGTTTTGAATTTCTTCATTGCATTCTTACTTAATAATTCCAGTTTGTTAAGCGTGACAAACCAGACATCATGATCGTGAGCTCGTTCGATCGAATTCAAGTAAAGTGCTGACGTAACCTCTTGTAAGAACTGATCCCTTAAGTTATCAGGAACTGAGCAGATTTTCTTTAAATTTCGAGGTAAGTATCGACGACGAATTTTAAGAAAAGTTTGGTGATTGAAATCTGTCCAACCACCAGTTCGTCCGCCGTTATTTAACAAGAAATTCTTCGGAATTAATTTGAATACATGATCAAATACTTACTTGAAATTGAAGAACTTCAGGAAGTGCATTATTTGAATTCGAGGAAGCAAAAAATTTCGAAACTACCTTAGCAGAAGCTTTATTTGCAATATAAGCAGGATCCTTATCCCAAAGATCAATCGTTTCAGCGAAAACTGATAATTCATCATAGAGGCTTGATTCGACTTTAATTAAATCCTCCATACTGTTAAAAGAAAAGTAAGACATGAACAAATTTTTAATACAAATTTTAAACTGAAACAGAGAGATACGTTTGCTTTTCATATTCATTGTAGTCCGTAAAACATTTTTCAGCCGTTACCAAAGCCCTTTTGACACTGTGAAAATCTGATTTTTCGAAAATTATACATAGAGTTACTATTTTTTCTCGATTTATTAATGGAATACTGAATATCCTTAACCTTCATCTTGATATCAATCAATCGTTTATATAAATTTTGACCTAAAAGTATGAGAAGCTATCGTGATAGTACCATCAGTTAAAAAATGTGCACATAAACTCGAAAAATACTCCTGCACGCTCTTCATTTCATTTTTGAGATCAATATCTTTAAAGGCGGTTTTCGGTAATAGGTCCTTATATAGAGGCCTAATTCTGATCAAATATTAGATAAACTTCAATATGCTTTTTATTCAAACGTTTTGCCTCCACCAATGCAGACTTTGAATTATCGCATGGGTTTTCCATTTTTTATCACGATACTTTACTTTTCAAAACAAACAACTACTATAGTCTTAAGCGTCCTTTTCATAAGGCGCTGGAGTTTGATAAAGCCAAGCATCGTTGATTCAAGGTCAAGAAGCAATATCTCGTATAAAACATATAGGTCTTTTTTACCAATAATATGTAGAATTCGACGAATCGCGTCTAGGCTTAGGGAGAAAGAGGCAGTGTTCTATTTTAATTATACATGCTTTTGTTATTTCTTAAATCAGTTTTGAACTTAGGTTTCAGAAATTCAAATTATGTAAATGGAAAAGGTTAACTGAACTGATGAAAATAATTGTAAAAATATTCTTATCAATATTTACAAGCGATTCGTGCAAGTGTTCAGCCTTAAGTTACATGTCAATGAAATTGATCTTATTTGTAGTTAGAAGTAATTGGGTTCTACAAATCGAATAGTACACAAACATGGTTATCAATTGTATAGTAATTTGAAGAATGCCACATTTGATTTATGTTTAGGAAGAATTAATGGATTTTTATTCACATTAATTTATCTTACTAAATGCCATGCTCTACGTCTATGAAGTTGCCGAAATAATGACCAACTAGTTAATCATTTTAGAGATTCAATTTATAGTAACCTACTTTTATTGAAATATATCAGTTTATTGGATCAAAATTTATTTCTTTGAGACAAACCAAAATAAATATTTACACATAATATCAGCTCGATTACGTACGGTTTCTCCAGCGATAAGGACATATTGGGACTAACATCCCTATTCCCAGCTACAAGTTCCGACATTAATATCCCAGTTAATAATTTATTAATGGATTATGATTTACCGATACCCAAATGTCCACTTTAGTGTACATATTTACTGTCATGACCTTGCGTATACCTCATTTAAGATATTTCATAATAATGTAAAAGAAGAAAATTAGTTTTGACTTCATCCATTTTTTGAGGGGATCAATTAAAAATAATTTGTTTAATGAATTTATAAAACCGTTTAGAGCTAAATAAATAGATTAACCCACAATTTTATTTTATTCTTCAGGTATGTCTGGACTGCTATTTACGAAGTTTAAACATTAAGACATAAATTGTGGAAAGTATAGATAATACCTGGATTAGTTTATTTGTGCCATTAGCTTGGTCTACAGAGTTTGAGGCGTTGAAGCATCTATTCGGTAAGAGATCATGTCCGAAACCTTTGTAGGCAGCACAGCAACTAACAAATAAACATAAGGAGACCCACCACGAGTTAATTTTCGAATTTTCTTATAAATTAATCCCTTTTTCTCGTTACTTGCCAAACATTTGGCAGGGTGGCTTATTTAATCTATGCGGGTGATGTTAGTTTAAGTTGAATAGTGTTAGGAACAAATTTCAAGTCCATTGTGGAAGGTGTCATGGTAGCGGTTGGATATTAATGGACCTCACCGATAATGGCCTCAATTCCTGCTATTGTTTCTTTATTTTCCTGGTATAAACAGTATGGTTCGGCATTCATTGCATTAGGAGACCGTCAACGAGTATCGAACCTATAATCTCTCCGACTTCACATGCGAGTACTTTAATGGCCACGTAGCAAACGCACTGGAAAGCTTCTTTTTATTTCGATACCGGGGTGTGCAATAGACTTGGGCAACGTATACTCATACGTCAAGAAAGTCTATTAGCCGGCAGTTGACTTCTCACTTCAAACTACCATCACCCCACTGCATTTCATATTCGACTACTTTCACAGTGCTCACCTCACCTTTTTTACCTTTTGCATTTGTCTCTTTTACATCTTTGAAACGCTCTTCTGTTCCCCCCCCCCCTCTCGACTTTTTTCACTTTGATGTTCCTTCCTCTCTGCGAAGTCTGAAGTCAACTATGGGGCTAATTCTGACTATCGAAACGCCTGCCTTTAAATAAATAAATAAATATTTCGATACCAATAATAAATTTCGTTCCATTCAAACCAGAAATATTTCATTTTCCCAGTGAAATGCACGACTTAATTTTATAAAATTTATTCACTTTCCTCTTCACTATTCTAAAGTGTGTAAATTGAAAAAGTTGTCATTAAATAATATTGTATTTAAGCTAATATATTTCTGCGTATTTTAGTAATAAAAATATCTTGTCATTTTAACTTTACCTAATGCAACTTGACAAATGGAACGCTATTGACAAATAGCTTTTATAAGTTATATGCATAGAAAACACTAGTAGTTGTGGGGTGTACCACGTCGTCATAACTGATCACGGAATCTATTTATATTTATACCAAATGGCAGGCGTTTTGATAGTCATAATTAGCCCTTTAGTTGACTTCAGGCTTCACAGAGGGGAACGAACAAAAAAGTGAAAAAGTCGAGAGGGGGTTTGGGAACAGAGGAGTGCTTCAACGATGTAAAAGAGGCAGACACAAAGGTAGAAAAAAGGTGAGGTGAGTACTGTGAAAATGGCCGAATATGGCATAGAGTGAGGTGATGGTAGTTTGCAGTGAGAAGTAAACTGCCAGTTAATAGACTCTTTTGCCGTATGAGTATACGTTGCCCAGTGTGCACCACGTGGAGGTAAGCCTATCGCACTACCCACCTCACAATAAATAAAAGGCTTTAATTTTGTCATATTCCGTGTAGTAATGATAATGGAGAATATATAGCAGCAGAAAAATAATTCTCCGAGCGTATAAAAATGCGAGAATTTCAGCATGATTGAGTAGTTGAAACGCACTGTTTCACATGACTGCAGTTCCACTGGAGTGTGGGTCTGTTCGTGAAAGCGTATAGAGATTGGGAAAGAGGGGAGGAATGGGCGGGGGCGGGAAGGAGGGGGG